CTGGGCGGCCAGCAGGCGGAGCCTGGCACCAATGGCGCACTGGCCGCCCAGACACGGCTCACCATGTGCCCATGGCGGCCGTCCGGGATCCAGGCATGAGACGCCCCGTCCTGAGACCCACCAGCTGCCAGGAGGCTGCTGGAGGTTTAAATAACCCAGGCCCAAGGTCGCGCCCCTCCCAAATCCCATTCACCGCCCCATGAAGGCGGCGGGTGGGCCCCGGACCTGTCCATAAATATTTATCAAACAATTCCTGAATAATATGACTCAGAAAGGAATAAGGAATGATTTTACCTTAGACTGGCCATTTTCCTTTAGGTCACACTGTCCCGCCCCAATGCCAGAGCCCGTAAGGAGCGTGGTGCCCGGGGCCACGTTGTTGTCACCGTCCTGCTGTGGAGCCTCAGCTCACTGGGGAGGCCGTGTCCTCATTCCTAGGAAGCCTGACATCTCAGGGATATTGGCAGGATTATCTTAGCTGAAGCTAACAGCAGATGTGGATGTTAGGTGCAAATTTTTTAAAAATTCAAAATAAAAAATAAATAAGTAAAAATTTAAAAGTAAAAATAAATAAACGAAAAAGGAAGGTAGTAGAAAAAAGTCACGTTAGTGTCAATTCAATGTTAAAACTTAAACAAAATGGTTTGGGCGTCGCCTTGTGGTGGCATGTTAGAAAGCAGGCCGAGTGGCAGATTCCACCAACTGGTCGACCGTTCCATGGGCAGTCAGGTTAAAAATTTAAACAGAGAGTTCGCCTCCTTATTCCCAGAGGAAGTTTATTATTCTTCTGTTTCTGCAGATCGCTCAGGGCTCCTGGCCGTCGTTCCGATGGCGCTGGTTTCTGGCCTGGCTCTGGTTCTGGGTCCCCACCGTTCCTCACGGTGACCATTAGGATCGCTCCAGTAACCTCTCAAAACAAACAAATATACATACAAACAAAAAGTCTAGAATGGACAGACAACAACATGGAAAGCTTAGAATCAGACAGGAAACGCCCAGCGTGGACCCAAACAGGCCTCACTAGGTGGGACACAAAGATTAGTAACGCCTCACTGGGGTATTGGGGATTTCTCTGCACACCCATCCTAAATTAAAAAAAAAAAATGTATTGTACCTAAACTGATAACTGTATGGAATCAAGCTGAATACAAACCAAAATTGAAATGTCTATGAAGAAGTCACAGGATGTAGTTAAGAAACCGCATCTTCCCATCAACATACTATTAATCAATGTCATGTCAATTGATGCCATGAGGTTGTAAATGGCTGTTGACAGCATGTCGGGGCCTTTAATTGTTTAGGATGATGCTTAGCTGGACTTACCTTCAGACCAGAGATGGTCTCACCAAGAAATCATTGAACCCACTAGGATAATAAGACACTGGACTTTATGCTTGGTAAATATTTCCAATGAAAGACCTTCAACTGAATTTGAACTGTGGTAATACAACAAGGTGGAGAAATCCACCATGGGGAGAGGGTTCGGGGAGGGGAGGGGGGAATCCCAGTGCCCATAACACTGTGTCACATAATGCAATACAATTAATAAAATTAAAAAAAAAAAAAAAAACTTAAACAAAATGGTTTGGACACCACCTTGTGGTGGCATGTTAGAAAGCAGGCCGAGTGGCCCATTCTACCAACTGGTCAACCGCTCCATGGGGAGTTAGGTAAAAACTTAAATAAAATAAAATGGTTTGGGCGCCGCCTTGTGGTAACATGTTAGAAAGCAGGCCGAGTGGCCCGTTCCACCAACTGGTCAACCGCTCCATGGGAATTAGGTTAAAAACTCAAATAAAATGGTTTGGGCGCCGCCTTGTGGTGGCATGTTAGAAAGCAGGCCGAGTGGCCCGTTCCACCAACTGGTCAACCGCTCCATGGGGAGTTAGGAGAGACTTCCCATTTTCATGAAGTCCTGACAAACTTCCAGGAACTGCCAAAAAAAAAAAAAAAATCTAAGGCGTTTTGAATCCTGGACATCAGTATGCCGACAGACTCTGTGTGTGTATGAGAGATCTATGGATCATTTCTATGAATGATCAAACACGGGTGTCAATAAGTTGACTGAGACTCCCTTCAAAAGTATATGTGTTCATTTAGAAACCTAAACTAAAAGGGCCAGCATATCAGGCTGAGCCACAGCTTGCAATGCCAGCATCTCTGTTAATGTGACTGGGAAGCAGTGGAAGGTGGTCCACACACCTGAACCTCTGCCACCTGCTTGGGATGCAGTGGAAGGTGGTCCACACACCTGAACCTCTGCCACCTGCTTGGGATGCAGTGGAAGGTGGTCCACGCACCTGAACCTCTGCCACCTGCTTGGGATGCAGTGGAAGGTGGTCCACACACCTGAACCTCTGCCACCTGCTTCAGATGCAGTGAAAGATGGTCCACGCACCTGAACCTCTGCCACCTGCTTGGGATGCAGTGGAAGATGGTCCACGCACCTGAACCTCTGCCACCTGCTTGGGATGCCAGAGTTGAACTCCTGGCTGCTGGATTCATTCTGGCCCAGCTCTAGCTGTTGTGGTCACCACAGAGAACCAGCAGATGGAAGATCTTTGTCCTTCTCAATTGCTCGGTCTCAAACAAATCTTTAAAATAAAAATGGAGATGAACAATTAACACTTTTACACAAAGTGTTCTTAAAAGGCCCAAATTTAAAGTTAATATTTAATCTTTTAAAAAATCAATCCAAAAGTTCAAATTTAGAAGACCTTAACTAAATATACAGATATTTTATACTTATTAAATATATCCTTAAGTCATTTTTATGAAATGAGAATGTTAAATTTAAAAAGTGGGATAAAATTGGTTGCTATTTTTGACCTAAAATATTTTATTGGGGAGGTTTTTGTGTATATGATTGAGAATTTGAACAGCAAAGCTGTTATTAGACGCTACTATGAGTGATAAAATCATGTGGTGTCTCGTATTTTAATTCTATTTAAAATTCCCAAATTTGATGTGATGAGCAGGCGGTGCTAAGATGTGAGTGAAAACTCCTGATGTAATACATGAAGGCTATAACATTAACAGTTAAGTTCTCTTCACTCTCCATCAAGACCACTCCCACATAAGGCAACCTGCGCACCCAAGGTCAAGCAGAGAAAATAATTGACAAACGAGACAACCTGGAGGAAAAACACCTTCCAGAGGTTTGAGAACGACTGTAACATCACAGCGACGGACTTTCTTCCTGTTGGAAGTAGACGGAACAAAATACGACAATTGAGGTTTTTTTAAGTTATAGTTAAGTTTCAGCATCTCTTTCAAAAATTCATACAAACATGGAAGCTAAGAACACCTGCCAGCCTGACTGAAGTTTCTTGTTTTTGACAACATGTTTATTTTTTATTTTGATATATATTTTTGGTTCAGAGACTTGAAGAAAAACATGATGATTCCTTTAAGATAAGAAAAAAAAAAACAAACAGTCCTGATCTGGCTCATGCTGTAATAAACCCTTGGAGCTGGTTTAGCTCGTGTGTACTCCTCAAAGGTCAAAAGCAACAATTCAAAGAGCGTGTGTGAACGCAGGTTCTGGGTTTTCAAAATGAATGATCAAATAATTCGGTTAAGTAAATTTAGTTTTTGCAGAGATTTGCCACCTAATTCCTGCTTCCTTGCTGTCTGAATTTTCCCTAGAGCTCTGATCATAATCATGGAAACAGCAATGCAGACACAACCGCTGGCAGTCCGATCATCCCAGTGCCAGCCACCATGAACAGTTCTCGAACAGCCCGGAAGGAGCAGTCGCTGTGTGGGGATTTTGCCGCTGGGGAGACGGCAGGACAAACCAACATGCTCCAGTCAGTGTATTTAAGTGGTTTAAAAACTCCAAGCATTTTTCAACTGACAGAAAGGCTGAAACTTTGCTCAGCATATCACATGAGCGCACCGCCTCAGGGAGGCGAATGTCTTGGGGGAGCAGTTTGTCACCTCTCACCATGTTTATGAGGCAGAGCAACGGCAAGGGAGTGTCAACCACACCGTAAATTTGGCAATATAATACATCGAATATCTGATATGATTACCACAGTGCAAAAATTTTCCAAGTTGAAATCAACTCTGGCTTTATTTACTCATCAGCATTCCAATCTAATGAAATAATAAACTTGGCCCATCAACACATAATCCATTTCTTTCATCATAGTAACATTTTTCATGCAAGTAACAGTTTTAATGTCATAATGTAACTGCTGTAAGTTAAATTGATTCAATTTAATTAACAAGCATTTATTTCGCGCCTACCTGTGCACAGCACTGTCCTAGGCATACAAAAGGACGGTCCCTGCTCAAAGGGAGCTTACAACCTGTGTAGGAAAGACGACACATGCATACAAGAACCACTGAAAATCACATGGAGATAAACATAACTAACGACCTACGCACTCAAGGCAGCCTGTCGTGAAGGCTCCGTGATGGAGAAGCGATGCTATCGGGAAAAGACGATCAGCAAGAGGACTGACAGAATCGTGAGGTCAGAAAGGAGAAACCACAGGAGGGTGACACACATCAGCATGGCCGGTGCAGGGACTGGCAGGGGGACTGGTGTGGCTCCAGAGAGGGGCGGAGTGGAGGCATGCTGCCCAGGCTGGTGAGGGCAAGTGGGCATGGCTGCTCGCGGTCAGGGCTGATGTTCATTTTACAATATTCTTTCAACTCACCGAGACACAAAAGCCCACAAACAGAAGTGTGTTTTCTAGCCTTGACAACAAAGCAACGAAAACTTGTAGAATGCTGAGAGAGTAAGCCCAGGGAAACGGTCACTGAAATTCGAACAGACACACTGTGGGGCAGCAGTCACTTCTGGTATTGGTTCTCTTCCTTACTTGAATTGATGAAGAGCTGGGTTGGTTCAGAGTCAAGAAGCTCGTGAAGGCAGGAGACATCCCCACTCTGCACTCGCTTAGCGACTCAATTCCTTCTCAGGCCAAATCCAGGCTGCATGTATATTTGTGGGAACAGGAGGAAAAAAAAAAAATATATATATATATATATATATATATATGTTTCTGCTCTCGTAAAAGTAGGTGAGTTCCTTATTTTCTGAGCTTAGACGGAAAAACAGGAAGGTAAAGTCACGCGTAGCTCAAGACAAGGCTGAAGAAATGGGCTTTAGCAAACAAGCATTGTTTTTAAAATTAACCCCCATCCTAGCCTACATAGCTGGGTCACACCAGCAATTTACTGCATTAAAGCAGGGGGGCAGAGCAGGGCAAAAAGCAGTGGCGCAGGAACAGATCTGTAATTGAGAAGAGGTGGAGACCCCTGGCCCACGTGGGACTGATGATGCTTTTATGCAAGAACATGACCTTGATAATCCGTCTGGGGTAGAACAAGGGGTTGTTTCTTCAACAGAAAGAAACCATCCAGATATCTGTGCGAGTTACTGGCCACCACCAGCTGCGGCTGTTAAAAAAGAGAGAAAGCGCTGATCCAACAAAGGCACATTGAGCTCGGTTCCTGCTTAGCTGTCTAAGGGGAGGCTGTCTGAAATGTGCATCTTCCAAAAGTGCCCTACTCTGCTTTAATACTCACCACTTTTCTATTCAAAATGTTTCTATATTTACTTAATAAAATTCTGATAAATTGCAATTACAGGAGAATCAAAGTCTTGCTTTTTTGCAATGCTTACTCACAACTGCAAATGTAATGAACATGGAGATGTATCATTTTCAGATCTTTCCAAAGCCAAGAGGTCCTCGTTGTCCAATAACTACTCAGGGCATAGTTACTGTGAGACTGCACACAGCTCGGGGAAAGTCAGCTAATGGCATGCTAGAACATTGCACCATTATTTCATTAAGGGAACAGTAAGTCTCAACTAGAATTCTTAGCTTAGAATCCAGAACTTTGCACCTACCACTTTAAGCACGAATTTGGTGCTGTCCTGTTACACAAAAGCGCTGCTGGGATGTGTGTTGTATGCTGTTCTAGTTCCCCATCTGCAAAGTCTAAATGAACCTACGCAGCACCCACTACTGTAACCCCTTCTTAGACTTCAAGTCTACAGTCATCACTTCTCAGATAAGGGCTATGGGCTGGACACAATTAGAAAAAGAGATCTAGTTACTGCTTCTCTTGGTGAAGGACTCGTGAAGGTTTGTCTAGGCCACGGAAGTAAGACGCTGGAATGACCTCTTGCCTTCTCCCAAACATGACAGTTACAGAACTGAAGACACGGAAGTGGGAATAAACTCTTAAAGTGACACTGAGAGAGGACAAGCAGTGACTGTTAAAGTAACATCTATTTTAACAGAAATTTTACGTTCATAGTTGAGAAGCAGCACAGTTCACAGGAGAGCTCCACAAAGCTCAGACTTTTGCAGCACCCGGCACCCCCAGACATGAACATTAAGGGGATGACTGTCTCTGTCTTAGGCAGCAAGTTCAGGTTTACGAGTGGAGAAGTCGTACCTCCCGCCCCTATGTAATTCTTCCCCCATGGACTCAAGCGATGCTGGCCAGTCGTCACCTGGACGATGATGGGGAGGGCGCACTAACCCTCCCCTCCCGCGCTCCCGGAAAGGCCCGTGACGAAGAGGGCTCTGTCTGTGTCGGCCCTGCACTTCCTGACTCTGGAGGCTGGCCTTCCAAGGACCACTTGCGTTCTTGTTTCCCGTGGAAATGATCTCCTGATTACCACAGAGGATTGGTTCCAATACTCTTCAGGCACCAAAATTCACAGATACGCATATCCCTACCACAAAATGGCACTTTTTAAGTATAGTCTACACACACACATTAGACCATCTCTGGATTGCTCACACTGCCTAATGCGATGCACATTGTAGGTAAACAGCTGCCAGGATGTACTGTTTAAGGGATAATGATGTTATTTTTAAATTTGCACAGGATTATTCCTAATGTGATTTTATATAAAAGAAAAATCATGTTTTTGATTGGCAGTTGATTGGATCTTTGGATGCAAAACATGCATATTACAGCTAGGGAGGGCCAAGTTTACTTTATAATTCAGCAGGCTTAGAAAAAGCACAGCTAATGGATTAGAGGAGGCTCCTGGCAGCCACTGTGATGAGCTCAGAGAGACACACCCCTGGGATCTTCCCATTGTCTCCATCCAAGTGTAAAAATAGTCAAAATGTGCAAGGGCGAGTCTGCCTTTGTGTCTGCAATGTGACTTTGGGGTGTTCTCTTCATTTTCTACCAGTATTCAAGGTTAAATTTTTTAAAAAGCTACTGTTAAATTTACATTCCTAAGTTTTTTTCTTTCTCCCCTTTTAAAACTCCTCGTAAAACAACCCATCTCCCTGAATATAAAGCGAAGACTTGAAGCACGGGCCATGGGACTGTGGATGGAATTGCCCACTTCAGGCAGACCGCCCGCTATCGAACCCTCCATTTGGAGGAACAAAGCAAAGCGGGGAGCACGGCGGCAGCTGAGAAATGAAGCTCGCGCCCTCAGCGCCTCTCACCTGCGCGGGCGGCCGCCATCTTCTTGTTCCGCATCTTGTTCTCCAGCGCTTGCTACACCGGAAGAGACGGGAGCAGCAGTCAGAACTCCTCCCTTCCTCCTTGACACTAAGTAAGACGACGTTTCTGTGAAACGCATTCTTACCATTTTCATCTTCTTTTTGAGATCCAGGTTTGCTGCCTTCTGGCCCTTGGCAGTAGCATTGAGATAATAGATGGTCAAACTAAATGTAGAAAAATAATAATAAAATAAAATAAATAATAATAAAGCAAAATGCATGCCATCTTTCAGCTCCTCGAGATTCTTCGTAAACTGACGGTGACTAAATCCTTCGATGAGCGCGCAGGGGGTGCCACCTGTACTGTGTAGGTAGCAGTGAGGGTTCGGCTCAGGACTGCCCAGTGACAAGGACGAGTCCAGGAGGGTCCCAAGCTCCGTCCTCCAGGCTGCACCACTCAATACTGGCTTCCTCTTGGAAACACACTGACATCATATTAAGTTGTAATTAAAAACAACTTGTTAATTTAACAGCAATGGTATCCAAGAGAGGAAAATGTATTGATGCTACATGTCAAAAGAGGAAAGCCACATTCTACCCTAAATTCCCTCCTTTGGCCTTTAACTGGGAACAGAATCCTCACAGGCGTAGTAGATTAATATGGATTTTTTCCATAAAATATATTGTTTCCATTTCCATTTCTCCTTGTCTTTATAAAAGAATATGCTTCCAGAAAAAGCAAATTGCAACCTAGCAATTCTGCTGAAAGCAGCACTCTCATCTTAGGGGGAAAAAATGAACAAAGAAAAAGAAATGCTCTTTAAAAATGAAAGTGACACTGCTGTTTGTGGCAAATAGTTGGGTACTGAACACATCTCCTCTACTCTCCAACGTGCCAGATAATATCTTTTATATCTTTTATGGGCCATCTGGAGTTAGCAACCCAATTATTGATACACTTTAACTGGGTTGTCTCTTATATCAGTGGAGTTTGGAATTACAGACATGCAAGCAGGTATCTAAGGATTATCTGCCACACACACACACACACACACACTGGTGTTCGATAAATGTGTGTGTGTGTTGCAAGGATTTGCCTAGAACTTTCCCTTGATTTGGGTGGCAAAGTCGAAGACCTCAGAAGTCATTTCCGTTTGTGGATTCTGATCTTATCAACACTGGTTCCCTGCCTTGCCATAACTCATTTCCTCATTTCCAAAGGGATCCAAGTGCCTGCGGAGAACTAACCGAGCTCTACTCAAATGCTGCAAAACCATCGAGGCTCATTCTGGAAGAACCACTGGGGAAATTCAAAATGTCTCTTAATTAAAGGTAATAAAAAGCCAAGCCAACCGTATGCGCCCTATAAAAGAAAAAATGAGGCCTCCGGGTGTGAAAAAAAAACCATAAAATTAGTAATAAACTGAAATTTGGACTTTAAATCAGAAGCTCAGAGCTAACACTGGCCCCTCCTGGGTCTCAGCTTGCCTTGCAGGGTGTCCCAACAAGGGGCAGGCCTACGACTTCCAACTCCAGCCCAGTCCCCAGGCTGGTTAGTTTGGTCCATGAACTCAGAACGCTTTTCACATCCTTAAGTGGTTATGTGAGTATTCACTAAGATCCTCAGTGACATCTTGACCTAAAACATCTGCTGTCTGGTCCATCCGTGACTACCAGCTTGGAGCCCATCCGATGTCTCCACTGAACCAGAACTCAAGTATGTGTAAAAAAAAAAAAAAAAAATCGGTGAGACTGAGAAGGCAGGACTTGAAGTCCGCTTCTCCAATGCCAGCGTCGGCTCCCGGCCTACACCTGCGGCAGACTGCTCACTGTTTAGACAGTGGCATTTGAATCAAGCTGCTCCTCTGCTTACAAACGGGCATCCCTCAGCAAAAAACACCATCACAAAAGCTAGGACGTTTCTACTGTGTGTGCATGTTCTGAACAGGATCTCACTTATGCCACTAAAATGGCCCTGACTCGCAGAGATGCTCAGATATCCGAGACATGCTCTTAGAAGCCACTGCTGTCATGAACGTGTAGAGTACGGAAATCACTTTGATGGCCATCTGGCGAGACACGCTGCACTCGCTCGACAGGTCGTTTCCCAACACACCCAGAGATGTCGTTATCAGATTCTTTTTTTTTTTTTTAAAGATTTATTTTTATTATTTTTTATTGGAAAGGCGGATATACAGAGAGGAGAGACAGAGAGGAAGATCTTCCGTCCGATGATTCACTCCCCAAGTGAGCCGCAACGGCCGGCCGATACTATGCCAATCCGAAGCCAGGAGCCTCTTCCGGGTCTCCCACGCGGGTGCAGGTTCCCAAAGCTTTGGGCCATCCTCGACTGCTTTCCCAGGCCACAGGCAGGGAGCTGGAAGGGAAGCGGGGCTGCCGGGATTAGAACCGGCGCCCATATGGGACCCCGGGTGTGCAAGGCGAGGACTTAACCACTTGCGCCGCCGCGCCGGGCCCCGTTATCAGATTCTTTAGGTCGCCTCACCGTCAAGGGTCTCTAATTTATAAGAGCGATCTGTCTTGCTGTTGATTTTTCCCATCAGCTTTTCTGCATAGAAGACATCCCGGGTTAAGGAAGTGAACATTGGATTCCCTGCCAATGGATTTAACTCCCAGCACTGCCTTTTTAGTGTCTCATGTAGCAGGAAAACTCACTTCCCACCTGCCCTTTCTTAGTTTATAAAATCTATAATGTTGCGTATGACGCCTGCCCCCTCTCTTAGGAGACTTGAGATCGTGGTCACAACCAAGATGACAGTAACAACTTGGTCGGATTCTCAGCTCATTTACTCCAACCCACTGGGAGATGGCGCCCTGGGGATTCCTCCCTTCGCCTTTATCCAAACAATCCCGCCCTTCCCATCAATGCTGTTCCTGAAGTGTCTCTCAGGTGGATTCATCCCTGCCCTTCTTGATTGATGGTGCAGGAGGCACTTTGGGGTTTAAAGGAAGAACTGAGGCACTTTTCTTGGCTTTTCCATAGTAAGTATGTATTTTTATTTTAGAGGCAAGTGTATATGGGTTGACCAAGGCTCCGAAGCCAATAAAAGTTCTATGGGAACAAAACCTCCTGCCAAGTTCTTCCTCAGAAATCACTGTGAAGTGACATTTGCAAGACCCTCTGGTCCTCTGGTCCTTAAAACGCACCTAAAAGTTATCCTAGATATTAAGTGGTGTGAGTAATTTGCAACTGAAGTCTTACAGCAGCATCTCTCTCATACTTGCTACTCTGTTACCAAACAAGACAAATGCCTCCTTCTCTACTGTAATTTCAGCTTTAGCCACCAGATGTCACTGTCCGCATTATCCACTTCAGCCAATACACATATACGCACGCTGAAGTGAAGAATCTTGTCAACTGCCATTTCCTGAGCATAACAGAGCTCCAGTTAGCCTAGCTCCATCAGCTTCATACATGCCTCTCTTTATACTTGGTCTGTGGACTTTAACAGCCTGAGCGGGACAGATGAAAAGCAAATTGCACGTCGCCACGCTAGCTCCACGCTTGCCACTCACAGGGTTTTTCACTCTCTCCTCTACTTCACAGAATGGAGAGAGCGGAACTGCCTGCTGGCTGGTGACAGCACCCAGAGACTCTTGTGGACATTTGCACCACATGAATGTCCAAGGCTCTTCAGGAAATGAAATCTTTTAAGACCTCTAGGACTTTGCTTTCTGTAACGTGTCATTACGAAATCTCTGTCCCGAGGAAGAGAAACAAAATACATGTCCAACTTGAATCCCAGAACCTTCCTGATTCCTGGCCACTAACTAGAGCGATAGTTTTGTGATTATATTTAAGGAATGCATTTAACCTTTGTACTAGCATCTAGCATTTTGAGTAACTTTCTACTTATTCTTGCTTAATAATGATTTCACTTGCTAGGTAACCTATGGGGACATCTCCTTTCGAGGTGGTGGTCTGCGTGATTGTGGCTGAGCGTGATGGGCCGACACCAGGAAAATTCCCACACCAGCGTCAGTGTAATGGCATCCTGTCCGTTGCTGCATCCTGTGATGGAGATGGCTCAGCTCCATCAGTCACACGTCACTCAGGAAGAACTTACAGCAGCACAAATTACTTCCCTTTTTACAATTTCCAAATGAGAAAACAGATGTCCCATAATGAGCAGAGTGGCCAAAGGATATCATTCCTCTAACCAAAACGCAATTGTACACACACACACACACACACACACACGCGGCTATCGGCGCCTCCACAGACGCAAGATCGTTTTGTATCCCTGTCATTCCTTGTGACTCTCTACCTTTGAAATAAAATGAATACAACTATATTTCTACAAATTGAAAGAAAACTGACAATAGTGGAAATCATCTCTCAATAGCATCTGATTTTCATATTAATCCATCTAGTGAGCTCCAGGAATTTGGCAAGCCCCATGGTATAATGATGGGACCATGGAGAGCTGTCTTTATGTCTCTCTGACAAAGATGGTTCTCACATTTTTCCAGGGAGTCCAGTCTCAACAGCATGCCAAGTTTGGATAATTAAGGCCAGGTAAGGTTGAAGGATTTGAGCAACACACAGAGAGTTTGTTCAAAAACCAAAGCTATGCTTGTAACGAGGACCATGGCACAGTACTGTATTGGGCATGAAGCCCCAGAATAAAGCAGCTCAGTTGAGACTGCTTCTGGGTTGCGGTGTTCTTAGTTAAGAGTGACACGTTTCTAAGACACATAGTTCCCAATTGAACTGGAGGTGATGATTCAATTTTTAAACTCAAAAATGATCTCTGCTCTGTCAAATCATCTTAACCTGACAGGGTTTATAATGAGAGTTTTTTCTTCTAGCAAAGATAAGACAGTCTTTTGCACATCATAAGAAACAAGTCTGATAGGCAAACGGCCCTATGAAAAAGCTGTAATATAAGGGCCACATTTTTTAACTTGACCTTCCTAAAGCATGCTTCATTTTTTTACACAACTGAATTTGGTAAGATACTTTTTACAAAATAGCCATAAATTGCATTGTAAGTCTATTTAGTAAGAATAATAAAGCAAAATCAATTTTTTAGAAATGTCTTGTTAATTTATTTTATTTAACAAATGGTAATGTGATTCTTCATATTTCACAGTTAGAGCCTGGTATCACAAGTTATAAAAATATGAGTCTTCAAATAAACCTGCTGGCCAGAACATACCATTTGGTGAAGATGCACTCTGTCAGAGGAGAGAGACCCTCT